GCATTATGGATACGAACTGACTGTGAAAAGACTAGCGTGTAGAATACAGAAAATGTGATCACAGATCTTACCTGTTATTTTAGACAATGAGGTATTTCTGTCATCTAACATGCGAATCGTTTGAAGAAATGGAAGGCTTTTATTACGTTATTGTCTTCTGAGGAGCTTGAGAAGGCTTTCCCAGGTGTTGTTGTTGTTAAGTGCCGTCGAGTTGGTTCCGACCCATAGCGACCCTGTATAGGGTTTCTGAGGATGCTGGTGAGCTTGAACCCCATCCTTGCAGTTCAAACAGCTTTGCAGTCTGGCGCATTAACCCACAGCGCCACACCAGGACTCCGGCTTTCCCAGGTAGGTTAGTCTATATTGAAATAGAATGTTGCTGTATGATAAGTAGCCCTGGTGGCACTGTGGTTAGGTGCTTGCCTGCTCACTTCATAGTCAGTGGTTCAAACCCCCTAGCCCTTCTGTGAGAGGAAGATGTGGCACCGATATTGTCACCAGAGATGGAGTGCATGCAGACTGTACTGGGTGACACTGTCAGGGGGTGACACCAAAACAAATGGCTATATAAAATTTGTGTGCGGTGTTGTTTCAGCAGAAATGTATTGTTTTTCATAAAAATATTTCTGTAGTTATATAAAAACATTTTTCTTAAGCCCAGATTTTACATGTATCAGTATACATAAAGGAGGCCTGGTATGGCGCTATAGTATAATGCACTGGACTGTAAGGTTGGTTTGAACCACAAGATCGACAGTTCAGACCCACCAGCTGCTCCTTGTGAACCTGATACAGGGTCGCTATGAGTCAGAACCAACTCAGCAGCACCTAACAACAACAAAAAACATAAAAGATTAGAATTCTATGCAAATGTACTTTTCCAATCATCCAGTGTGATCCAGTCAGCTGTCATTATTAATCAGTTACATGGATTCTTTGTATCATGTCATTTCGTCTGCACGCAGTACAAGCATGCGCTGTTGTTTTTGTTGCTGCAGGTGTTTTTATAGTTACCTATTTTGTCAAATTTTCTGGTGTTTTAGCTACAATATTTTGGTAATTAGTATTTTTGAACCTATATCAAGAGCTTTTTTTTAAAGAATGAAGTAGTAATTAAACAAAAAGGAGAGGAAAGAATAAAGGCTTCTGCTCAATTACTAATAATGTTGCAACTAATAATGCTGTGATTCAGTATCGAAAGATTTTGCGAAGCAATTTTGTAAGTATTCGTTTAATTCTTAAATTTAAGAAACACTACATTTAAGCAGTTTACAACTGTATTTATCCCATGTTACTCTCTGATTTAAGTGGATAAGAGGCATGACTCAGGATTCTGTATAGTGTGATAAAGGAGACGGCTCATGGGGTGAGGTGCCATCATAACTTGCCACACTGGGTGACCACAACTCTAATGATGCCACTGTGGGGGAGTCTTCTTCAATAGAGATGACAGCCTTGGAGACCCCATGGGGCAGTTCCATCTGCTTCTATGGGGTCGCTATGAGTCGAAGTTGACTCACCAACAACAGGTTTGTTTATCTCATGTATTGTTGTCCCACCAATAAAACAGATTGTGAAGTAAAATAGTGATGAGGCCACTTGTGGCAGGCAGAGTGAAGCAGACAAGAAAGAATAAGAATCATAAAATTATTTTAAACTGAAGATTGTGGGGTCTGAAGTTAGTGTAAAATATTGAATGAAAATAGCAATTGTTTAATGAAAGTAGAGATATTTCTGAGATTACAGTTTCTTAAGGGAAAAGGGAAGGAGAGATAGCCACATAGCCAGAGGTAAAAGCAAAATCACTGACAATAATAGAAAATA